GCAACAAAGGCAAAGACCTTTTCGCGCGCGCGCGCGCATTGTTGGGCCTCGGCACTTGGGCCTGGCCTCGCTCGGCCCTGGGAGCGCCTGGGCCCCGGGCCTCGGTGGCCTCGGCAGCGCCTGAGCCTCGCCCTCTCGCAAGGCCGCCCTCGGCCGCTCTCTACATGTCGCCAAGCTCTTCTTCGGCATGTCGCAAAAACACCTTTTTTTTAAAAAATTGCAAGAATTTTCGAAGGCTTCCACGATAACTGCTTTCGACAACAAAGAAGCTTGTTGTGCTACACATCATGACATGTGTACAACATCGATCCATATCGCTTCTTAATCGACGTCAACTAAAGAACTCTACATCATTTGAAGTTCTCCAACGGTTTACATACGTTCCGAAACGAAGTCACAGCCATCCAAGCAACAACCACGCAGAATCAAAACGACGCCCTTCGCAGAGTCACGGGGACACCCTTCAGCGGAGCACTGTGTCACACCCCGCGGGCCCTCCACCGGACGAGCCTACGTCATTTGAGCTCCTCTGTCTGTTTGCGCCCTTCCCGAAGATACCCTTTCAAACCAAAAATTTGGTGTTTGAAAGGGCCCGCGGGGCCAACGCAGAATCAACCCTACAACAGTTCACGCGGACCCTGCAATCAAAAGGGTAAGTTCGGGAGTGGCTTTGCGGACATAGTTTGACCTCCCCTGTCCATCTGTGGCCCTCCCGCGGCTCCCCTTAAAGAACAGTTTCCGCATGAAGGGTCGCAGAATGCAGAATCAATCTGACACAGTTCATGGGGATACTGTAAGCCTTCAGGTGGGCTCAGGAGTGGGTTTGCCCACATAGTTTGACCTACCCTGTCCATCTATGGCCCTCCCGCGGCTCCCCTTGAAGACCATTTTCCGCAGGAAGGGTGTGCGAATGTGATTCTGCATTCTGCTACCCTTCATGCGGAAACTGTTCTTCAAGGGGAGCCGCGGGAGGGCCATAGATGGACAGGGGAGGTCAAACTATGTCCGCAAAGTCACTCCCGAACTTACCCTTTTGATTGCAGGGTCCGCGTGAACTGTTGTAAGGTTGATTCTGCGTTGGCCCCGCGGGCCCTTTCAAACACCAAATTTTTGGTTTGAAAGGGTATCTTCGGGAAGGGCGCAAACAGACAGAGGAGCTCAAATGACGTAGGCTCGTCCGGTGGAAGGCCCGCGGGGTGTGACACAGTGCTCCGCTGAAGGGTGTCCCCGTGATTCTGTGAAGGGCGTCGTTTTGATTCTGCGTGGTTGTTGCTTGGATGGCTGCGACTTCGTTTCGGAACGTATGTAAATCGTTGAAGAACTTCAAATGATGTAGAGTTCTTCACTTGAAGGCCGTTAATGATCGATGGAGTTGCATATCCAGCTACGTTTGCATTGAGTGTTTGTTTCGCTGGAGTTTGCACTTCGCTTAGGGATGTGACTAGCTGCTTTGCAGAGGATGATGTGTGAGCACCACAAGTTCACTTGTCGTTGAAAGCAGTCATCGTGGAAGCATTCGGAAATGCTTCGAATTTTTTTTTAAAAAAAAAACGTTTCTGCGAGATGCCGCAGACGAGCTTGGCGACATGTAAGGAGCGGCCTGGCGAGAGGCCCCCGGAGGCGAAGTCTCTGGATCCCAACAACGCGCGCGCGCGCGCGCGCGCGCGCGCGCGAAAAGGTCTTTGGCAGCCTTGTTGGTCAAGAGCTGTAGACCCGGAACACACATATTTGTGCGGGGAACACACACATGCGTGTGTGTGTGTGTGTGTGCGGAACACACACATGTGTATGCGGGCAACACACACAGTTTAGGGTTTAGGGTTTAGGGTTTAGGGTTTAGGGTTTAGGGTTTAGGGTTTAGGGTTTAAGGTTTAGGGTTTAGGGTTTAGGGTTTAGGGCCCCCAAGAAATTTGAAAACATGATTCGCAAACAAAAACAGCCCCAAACTTTCAGTCAAAACGTTTCAGTCAGAACGTTTCAGTCAAAACGTTTCAGTCAAAACTTTTTGGGAACCAAACCCTTACAAGCCACAGCCCCAATCCCTCCCCGGCCCCCCGGCCCAGCCCCCAACCCAGCCCTCTCATCCCAGCTGAACATGCAGAAAGCTTCCCCAGCGACCAGCCCAAGCTGGCCAGAGCCCAACACCAAATCAAGGTTCCAAAGTCAAAACTCTTGTCAAATTGTGCGGGGAACACACACATGCGTGTGTGTGTGTGTGTGTGTGCGGAACACACACACATGTGTATGCGGGCAACACACACAGTTTAGGGTTTAGGGTTTAGGGTTTAGGGTTTAGGGTTTAGGGTTTAGGGTTTAAGGTTTAGGGTTTAGGGTTTAGGGTTTAGGGTTTAGGGTTTAGGGTTTAGAGTTTAGGGTTTAGGGCCCCCAAGAAATTTGAAAACATGATTCGCAAACAAAAACAGCCCCAAACTTTCAGTCAAAACGTTTCAGTCAGAACGTTTCAGTCAAAACGTTTCAGTCAAAACGTTTCAGTCAAAACTTTTTGGGACCCAACCCCTTACAAGCCACAGCCCCAATCCCTCCCCGGCCCCCCGGCCCAGCCCCCAACCCAGCCCTCTCATCCCAGCTGAACATGCAGAAAGCTTCCCCAGCGACCAGCCCAAGCTGGCCAGAGCCCAACACCAAATCAAGGTTCCAAAATCAAAACTCTTGTCAAAACTTTCGGTCAAAACTTTCGGTCAAAACTTATTGGCACCCAAATTTCAACGTCTCGCTCAAAAGTTTCGGTCGAAACGTTTCGCAGCCCCCCATCGAATCTGAAAACATGGTTCGCAAAAAAAACTTTCGCTCAAAACGTTTCGGTCAAAACGTTTCGCCCAAAACGTTTCTTCGCGATGACGATCCCAGTAACTACCACTGTTGCACGCCACCAATTTCGCGGCCGCCCCCCCCCCCCCTCCCTGTCTTTCTCTCCCGGCGTTTGCTGTTGACACCGAGTACACTGCAACTTTTGCACTGAACCAATTTCATGGCCGCCCCCCCCCCTCCCCCCGGGGCCCCAGCCTCAGGACAGTCAAAACGTCTCGCTCAAAAGTTTCGGTCGAAACGTTTCGCAGCCCCCCAGCGAATCTGAAAACATGGTTCGCAAAAAAAAAACTTTCGTTCAAAACTTTCGTTCAAAACGTTTCGCCCAAAACGTTATTGGGACCCAAACCCTTAACAATTTCTATAAACCCTAAACCCTAAAGCCTAAACCCTAAACCCTAAACCCTAAACCCTAAACCCTAAACCCTAAACCCTAAACCCCTAAACCCTAAACCCTAAACCCTAAACCCTAAACCCTAAACCCTAAACCCTAAACCCCCAAACCTTCAACCCCAGGGCCCTAAACCCTAAACCCTAGCACCCTGAACCCTAAACCCTCGGCCCCGAAACCCTAAACCCTAGCACCCAAACCCTAAACCCTCGGCCCCGAAACCCTAAATCCACCCTCGGCCCCAAAACCCTAAACCCAAGGCCCCGAAACCCTCAACCCTAGGGCCTTAAAGCCTAAACCCTAGCACCCAAACCCTAAACCCTCGGCCCCGAAACCCTAAACCCAAGGCCCCAAACCCTCAACCCTAGGGCCCTAAACCCTCAACCCTCGGGCCTTAAAAGATTTCGGGTTTCCTGCTTCCATTCTACTGTTAAACCAACAACCTACGCTGTCGCATCTTGGCGCTTGCGCCTTCTAAAATTAGGGTTTAGGGTTTAGGGTTTAGGGTTTAGGGTTTAGGGTTTAGGGTTTAGGGTTCGACAGCGTAGCAGTCGCCCCGGCCAACTTGAGGGTGCACTTCTTTCATAGGGGGGTGTTGTCTAAACCCAGAAACTTAATTTCGAAACGTAAACGTAGCCATCGCGATGGGTGGGTGGCCGGGGTGGGTGGCGGTGGGTGGAACCATAAACCCATGGCCCAAACCCATGCTCCTTGGAGTGGCTTACGGAATTTTCATGAAATTCTTTACGAATCATAAATATTCACCACCGTGATCCTGGGGGGCGCTGCCCCCCAGCCCCCCCGCCAGGACTCCTCGCCCTGGACCCCGCCAGCACTCGCTTGTTGCTGGACCGCGCCAGGGGGACACCCCCTAGAACCCCCGAAAAGAGTTTTCTCTTCAAACTTTTTGGCAGCCAGCAAAGGGCAGGCAGCAGGGAGCCAGGCAGCCTGGGCTGGGCCGGGCTGGTTTGAGCTGGGCATGGGGACACCCCTGGACCCTGAAAAGAGTGTGGCGTTTAGCCACTAACTGCAGAGGAACGGGTTTGGGGGCGGGGGCGGCGAGGGCCGGAGGGGGGAGGGGGGGCGGCATTCTACTTGAGGCGAAGAGCTGGGCGGGATGGGTGCACACCGCGGTGGGGGCGGGCGGGGGGGTGCGGGTGGGGGCGGGGGGGGGGCAGGGGGGCGGGGGTGTGGGGGGCCGAGGATTCCACTTGAGGAGAAGGGTGGCGGGGGCAGGGGCAGGAAACCTCCAACCCTAGCACCCTAACCTTAAACCCTCGGCCCTAAACCCAAGGTCCAAACCCTCAACCCTAGGGCCTTAAACCAGCCATGGCCGAAAGCCATGACCGAAACCCATGGCCGAAAGCCATGCCCGAAAGCCATGCCCGAAACCCATGGCCGAAACCCATGGCCGAAACCCATGGCCGAAACCCATGGCCGAAAGCCATTGGGACACCCTTTTGGCCTTTTACTTCGGTTTACCCCAAACCCGAACACCCAGACCCGAAACCCTCGGCCCCGAAACCCCAAACCCAAGGCCCCAAACCCTCAACCCTAGGGCCTTAAACCCTAAACCCTAGGGCCCTAAATGTAAATCTGTGAAGCTGTTTTCTGATGCGAAGGGCCCTTCTCTTTGAAGCAAGCACAGACGAGCGACCGGCAGGCGCACGAGTGGATCAAGTGCGGCAAAAGGTGCCGACTTTGCCGAGGCGGGAGACCCTGCCTTCTTCGTTTTAGATTGGTAGCGGAGCCTTATGCTCCAGTAGTGTAGTTGTACTCCGCTATGTCGTGGCCTGTCGGTCCTTCGGTTGATGAGTTTTGTCGTGATACTGGTGATGATTCTGCGCAACAACATAGTGATGGCGTGTCTGCCGATCGTGATGGAGTAGGAGGGGGCGCTCATGCACGTGATGTTCACGCTGACGGCGCTTCGAACGATGAACCTGAAGAGCCCCACGACCCGTGGGCCTCGGCAGCCTGGAGTGGAGGTCAGGATTCCTGGCGGGGACACTCCGGATGGGAAGAGCGGGACCAGTGGAAGTCTTGGGAAGACCACCACTGGCACCAAGGTGCGCAAGGATGGCAGGACCGCCGCAACAGCTACGGCGGCACTTGGGGTTCTACGTCTACGGGGTCTGTCTCGGCCCAAGGACCGCCTTCTTGGGACCCAGATCCTCAAGAGTCTGCTCGTGAGGCATGGAGATCTCGCGGAGGCAATGCTATGCCCGGTGGATGGCAGCCTCAGAAGCTCGGACATGATCTGACCGGCCCTCCAAGGACTTCAGAAGTTCCCCGTGGCCCTTCCGAGAAGATGGTCGTCCCCAGTTTCTCTGGGGCTGTGGAAAGCGGCTCCGAAGACATCGGAGCCAGTGCTCGGTCTTACATGCGGCAAATCGCCGCCTGGAGGCGGATGACTCGTATTGAGCCGTCCCGCCAAGCCCTCACTTTGTACCAGCACCTGAGCGGCAAGGCCTGGATCGACGCGGAGCGCTTGGACGTCGACAAGCTCGCCGGTGACGACGGCATGGAGTACTTCCTTGGTTGGGTGACTGACAGGTACTTAGATGTACAAGTCACCCAGGTCGGCCGCTCCCTCGGTGACTTCTTCAGGCGACTCCGTCGCCAGCAAGGACAGAGCATCCGCGATTACATGAGTGACTTCGACAGAGCCTTGGCGAGGCTTCAAGAATGCGGATGCCATCTCCCCGACATTGCCAGTGCCTGGGTGTTCGTCGACCGGATGACTCTTGACGAAAGTCAAGAGTTAAATCTCCTGGCCTCCGTCCAGAACGAGTACAACCTGAAAAGGCTTCAGCAGGCGGCCATCGTCCAGGACCGCAATCTCCGTAAGCCCTGGGAAGCCAAGGGAGCCCAGCCTCAAAGACCGGACCGAGGTTTGAAGTGGTGGGGCCGCAAGCCCCAACAGGCCAACCTCGCCGAGGATGGCTTCGACGACATCGACGACTACGGCGACGGCTACCAGGACGCTCAATCGGAGGGTGTCCCAGAACATGTCGCGGAGGAGCTCTACACCTCGTACATGGCACACGAGTCCGCCAAGCAGAGATACAAGGAGATCTCGAAGTTGAGAGGAAGCGACCCGGAAGGAATGAAGCAGCTGGCGGCAGACCGCCTGAAACAGGCAAAGGCGAAAAGCTTCTGCGCCGGGTGCCGCAGAAAGGGGCATTGGCACTTGGACCCGGAATGCCCTCTGAACCAACCTGGGGGCGGTTCCGGCAATGCTGGTGCGAATCCTGGCGGCTCCTCACGCCCTACCGGACCTACTGCGGCGGCTACGAGGAAGGACGATGATCCCAAGGTGAAGAGCAACTACCCGTGCCAGCTCGTGTACGTGACTTGGGACCTCGATGAGAAGGTCCCCACCTCGAATCTGACGGCGATCACCGACACTGCCTGCAGCCGTTCTGTTGCGGGCATTCCGTGGGTGGAAAAGTATATGGCCGAGGCAAAGAGAGTTGGGTACCTCCCGCAGGTGGTGGACTGCAAGGACTCCTATAAGTTCGGCGCCTCGCGCATTTTCGACTCCACCTACGCCGTCGTTGTCAGCTTTACGGTTGGTGAGAGTATCATCCTCCTTCGTGTCGCTGTTGTGAACGGAGACCTTCCACTTCTGGTCTCACGCCCGGCCCTGGCCCAGATGGGTATGGTCATGGACGTGGAGGAGAACTCCGCGTGCTTCAAAAGGCTGAATGTGCGGGACTTGAAGCTTCTCTCGACGGAGACTGGCCACCCGGCGCTACCTGTGCGCCCTTTTTGTGTCTCTGCCGCAACCATCAAGAGTTGCGACTGGAAGGAGCGCGAGCTGTTGATTGTTCCGAAGACGCAGCAATACACGGCTTACATGGTTAGTGCCGGGGTTCATGTTGGAGAGTGTGAGGGTGATGTCTGTCACGTTGGTCCACCCCCGCTTCTCCCAGGCCTTTCTTTCGAGGACTCCAGAGGCCCAGAAGCTGTACCAGGCCCCAAGGTGTTCTACCCGAAGAAGATCAGCATTGAAGCCTACAACCTCCTCACATCTGATAAAGTGAACCCCTCAAGCTTTATGGCGTGGTGGGAGAGAAGTGCGATTTCAAACGACTTTTGGATTGAGGACGAGTTTCAGCTTCATCGGATACATGTTGTCCCTAGGAGGTCGTTCTTTGATCCCAGTGGATGGTCGACGTCGAATGTTGAACAGAAGTCTGCTCTTCTCAATGTCCTCGGGTCCCTTCGGTCAACACAGGGTTTTGCTTGCAAAACACAGCGAGAGTTTCCTGAAGTGCACGATCAGTGGCAGAGCCTTGGAAGCAAATCTTCATTCCCGATGTTGTGGGTCGGAAGAACTTCTTTTGGTAGAGCCTTCAAGCCCTCCTGTTCTTCTTGCTCGCCCCCTGATGGCCTCACGGTCCTCGCTTCTGACGGCGCCTGCGGTGACCAAGCAGAAGGGGCTATGGGATCTCCGTCGGGACGAGCTACTGATGGAAGCCGAGGCGAGAGGACTCACCATCCACGAGAAGTGGACGGTACCGGAGATCCGTTCGATCATCCAGGAGGACATGAAGCGCGGCGCCCCCGCGACGGAGGTCGTGACTGGAGAGACGGTGCCGCTGACCAAGATGACGATCAAGGACCTCGAGAATGCGCTCGAGGCCTCGGGGATAGCGATTCCGGAGAAGGCCAACAAAGGGATGTTGATGCGAATGCTACGAGACCAAGGAGGACGAGGACCCCAGACGGTGCTCGCCTTCGGGAGGTTCAAGGGGCGGATGTACCAGGAGACCCCGATCTCGTACCGGCGCTGGGCTGTTCAGGAGGTGTCCGAGAACGACGGGGCCCAGGAGGACTTGAAGATGTTCGCGGCATGGGCGAGCCGAGCTCTGGAGGTCACGGACGGCTATGCGAGCAGCTCGGTTCCTCCCCCTTATGTGGACTCGGAACACTCGGCGAGGATCCCCTACAACCCGGAGTCCTTCGGCGGCAGCTCATGGGATGTGGTCCCGACGAGGAGCACGGCTACTACCCGGACGTCCACGAGACCCAAGGCCAGACCGACCCGGACGGAGAACGAAGTGATCGAGCAGCGCATCCAGGCGCAGCGGCGCCAGGCCCCGCCATCGTCTCTTGGAAGCCACATGGACCAGGAGATCGACCCCCAGGTCATGGACGAGATTCAGTACCTCCAGGCGCGGCTGGCGGTGTTGCGCGACCGGCACGGAATGGCCCCCTCGGGAGAGGCCCCGTAGATGACAAACCTCAATCGGCCTTTGTCGGAGCACCACGAGATGATCTTCCTGGCTCCTTCGATGCTACCATCTCCGACACTGGCCTTTTCTATGAAGCTGGGAGGAACCAGCCCACGGAGCCAACCAACAGTTTTGATGCCGACGGAGCTCGGCGCAAAGGCCATTTTGGCGGGTCTCCCGGAGACCAATGCAGACCTAATTCATTTTCTGAAGTTCGAGCACCTCATCTGCTTTGTCAAGGTGCCGCTCGTTTGTCTGATGCCGACGGTCCCTGTGCGAGAACTCTTCTAGATGATCTGCGTCAAAATGAAGGAGATCCTGTCGGAAGACCTTCTGTACTACCTGAACCTCTTCAACCACGAGATCATCCTGAATCCTTTCCTCGCGCTTCGGGTCCTGGTTACCAGAACACCAGCGGAACCCATTGCAATCCTGGCGGACTTCCTGGTGATCCCTTGTCTTCGGCACTACCTGTACCAGGTGATCCAGTTCCTGGTGACCAGAACACCAGTGGAACCCGTTGCAATCCTGGCGGACTTCCTGGCGATCTGTCTTGTGAGTCTCAACCGTCGGGGTCACCTTTGAAGCCCTTTGGCGAAGTTGTCGAGGAGATCTATATGATCGACGAGGGTACTCCTTCCACTGGGCCTCTCGACGCAAGTGGCGCCAGTCTAGAAGAAGCTGCACAACGGCTACTTAAAGAAAAGCGTTTCTCTCTTGATGAACTTGCTCTACTACTTCCCCAGTTACCTATGAAGCCGACTTCTAGGCACAGGTGCATCAACGGCAACCCCGGCGACAAAACGCAGAGTTTCCTTGGCGGAATGTGGACTCACGGAGGACTCCATGGAACCTCGAGAGGGACTGCCCTCTATCCGAAGTTCGTCTCCTATGTCAATGAGGTGATGAAGAGGGCGAGTCCTGTGAAAGACATCGGTTGGTCCTCCTTCATCATCCATAAAGACGTCGCCACTTGTATACATCGAGATTCTCACAATCTCGCAGAGACCCCGGTGCTCACGGTCTCCCTCGGTGACTTCGCTGGTGGTTGTGTATGGGTCGAACGAGATCGTGATGACGACCCCCTTCATTTACCTGTCGAGTGGCGACCCGACCGAGACGGCAATCCTCTACCAGGATACCTGGCCTCCACAAAGAGTGCTCCCTACTTACTGGACCCGCGGAGGAGACACGCCACAGAACCCTGGACTGGAGAGCGATGGGTGATTTCGTGTTTCACTACGAGAGGTTTCCCTTCTGCCGGAGCACGACTACGCGATGGACTCCGTGAAGTCCGTTTTCCCCTCCGGAAGCTTCCGCCTACGGCTGTCAAGGAGAATGAGGAGTACGCACGGACCTCCCGGCCCATCAAGAGTACGAGGAAGGCTTTGTGGCAGAACGCCAGGCGGATCATCGCACTTACGGTGTGGTGCAGCATTGCGGCATCTACCTGCGTCCTCCCTGCGTTCCCCGAGTCGCGAGGACCCGATGCAGTGACGCTTCTCGAGATCGGTGGCGACTACAAGACCTTTGAGGCCACGGAGCATGGATATGTTACTACTGAACCGCTCTATGAGGAGCACTTCCGGGCCGACCACAACCTCAGCACCACAACAGCGATACTTGATGAACTACGACCACGGAGGCTCTGGGTACATCTCTCGTCTCTTGGAGACCAACTTGAGAGACTGCTTGCTGTTGCCCAACGACAACTCGCGGCCGGGAGGACAGTTGTCCTTGAAGGGAAGCCGGAAGATTCAAGCTGGTCTTCCGAGGAACTCCTGGCCCTCGCCGACTTCTACGACTACAAATGGACCCACCGTTCCAATGGCTCCCGGGTTCTTCATCTCAACCCTACCGAGACCTTCGGGGAGGATGGCGACAACGAGATCCCCGTTGAGACTTTCCAACGATATCTACTACGAGACGAAGGAGCCGACGGAGGTGAAGAAGCCTACGTTGTGGATCGGAAGACCGGACGGGCTCCCGACTCTGTGCTCTCTCCTGAGCTTGAGGGTGCAAAAGCCATTTCGTTCAGCGCTGGAAGCCGGATCAAGAAGGAGGTCCAATCTTCTTTAAAACGGCTGCACCAGAACCTCGGCCACCCTTTGAATGAGGACCTGGCCCGCCATCTACGAATTGCCGGGGCAGGAAGTGAGGTGGTGGAAGCTGTCAAGCGTCTACGATGCCAAGTGTGTGAAAGAAACAAGAGAGCCGGCTCAGCTCGACCGGCCTCCCTTCCGACTATACTCGACTTCAACCAGATCGTCGCGGTCGATGCCTTTTCTGCCTACGACTCCAACCGGAGGAGACACGAGTTCATGATGATCACTGACTTCGGCACTGGGTTTTCTTTGGCAGGCTCTTTGTCAGGTCACTCCACCCAGACCATGGAGGCAGACTTCTGCAGGATCTGGTCCAACACCTTTGGAGCACCGGGAACGATCGCTCTGGACTTGGAGAGTGGCTTGCAGGCTGGTCTCGGGCGTTTTTCGGAGTGGCATGGGACGAAGCTCAGGCCTTCTGCAGGCCAAGCTCACTTCCAACAAGGGAGTGTGGAGAGAGCCATCCAAACCTGGAAGGAGATTTGGAAGAAGCTCGTCGACCAGCAGTCCGTTGGCCACGGAGAACTCCAGATCACCGTCACCGCCATCAACTCGGCTGTGAACACGTTGAAGAAGCAGTCTGGCTTCAGTGCGGCCCAGGCCGTGTGGGGTCGTGACCCCACTCTCCCCGAGGACCTCCTCGAAACTCCACACGGCGAACAGATCGACCACATCCTCACCTACGACCGTCGGAGAAGTCGGGAAATGGCTATCAGGCTGGGTGCGAAGGAGGCCTACTTCAAGAACCAGAACGACGCGAAGTTGAGGAGAGCTCTCCTGCAGCGCTCCCGCGTGGCAGGGCCCGAGGTCCAGATCGGTGACGTTGTCTACTTCTACCGGAAGCCGAAGAACTGCAAAGACTGGAGATGGATCGGCCCGGCTACCGTCATAGGATCGGAAGGTCCAAACTACTGGACCTCCTTTGCCGGGAGATGCCACCTCGTTGCCCGAGAACATTTGCGGATGGCTACAGGAGAGGAAGTGGGCAGTGCTTTCACCCTGCGTACTACAAGAGAAGATTTGGAGAGACTCTTGGACCGCGA